CCGGTCACAAGAAACGTAATTCTCTACGTGAGTCAAATCGCGCCTCACAACAGTTTTGGGAGGCTTCTCAATCGAGCGTTTCTCACCCTTCATCGTTCAAAGTGTAAACATTTTGCTATAGCTGCGCCAAAGCGTCAAGATTGAAGTTGCCAGTTCTTCATATCGTAGAGATCGTCATTGTAAAGTTTAATGTGCGATTTGACTCACGTAGACTATTAATTGTGTTTTCGCGAGCGGGAGGTTTGAATTCACGCGCCAAGTAACATCACATATCTTAGTTAGGAGTTGATTTCAGTAATTTCCGTTGCGCAAGTCGTGCTCTACGTGAAATTTTGGTTAAGAATCATGTATCAGAATGCTGAAATTCGTACCTTATCTAGTGATCCATTATGGGTTGAATTTTTTCGGTGCATAGCATTCTGGTTCACGCAACATTTTCATTTCTTCATTCATTCATTTTACGCAAAATTTGGAATTTAAGTCAGCCTGTAACTCATTTTGTAATGACATCGTCTCAACGTTTTTGCTTTCGGAAACAATGTCTTCTCGATGTCCTCAGTCAAATTGTGAAATTTTCAGTGCATTCAGATTATGAGAAAACGCACGCATTTTTCGTTAGGGACTGAGTGGACTTGCTACCGCAATTGAGTATAATGAAAATAAAATCAATTTTTAATTCGTAAAATTTGGCCTAATTTTCTATAAGTATCAGAATAATATTCATCAAAAAGTTTACGCCGCATTATTGGGTTTCTTTAAGAAAAAATGGACGTATTTATGCTAATGAAATTATGTAGCACGTAAACCGTATGCACGTAGTTCCTTTTAGCATAAATTCGTCCAAATAAGGTAAGTAAGAACAGGTATTCCCAACACCACAATCGAGATGCCCATTTTTTACTCGACTCCATGAAGGCGTTTCTTGTGCGCAAGGAATTCGCCTTCCGCTGCGTCTGCGGCAATTGTTGTTACGAATATGTTGTGCGTGCTGATTTCAGCCCATTACATACTTGACGCTCTGAAGGCGTTTTATCTTTACTTCGTTCGCTCTCCAATAGAGTGCGCTACTTGGACACATAAAACGCCTTCAGAGCGTCGAATATGTAATGGGCTGAAATCAGCACGCACAATATATTCGTAACCACAATTGCTGCAGATGCAATTGACGGCGAATTGAAAGCAACTGAATAATTCAAGTAGAGAACATTTTAGTGCTTAGTATAAATTGCGCGATCTTATCGGTAGAAACGGAGTGTTGCCGTGGATAAAGGAGGTAAGTAGAAGACTGCAGCTAACGGCGATCTCCGGGGAAACCCTCTTGTGAGTGCGTCATTTCCCCATAGTCTGCAACAACCACACACTTCAACCAATAGGATCCCTCTATTTTCTCTTTGACTTATTTGCCTAGCATTTTGCCTACCAATATCAAAAATGAACCCGCTGTATTGTAAAAGATAAGATACTTACGAGCCAATTCTGCAACCTAGGAAATAAAATTAAGTCCTTCCGTCGAGGAAAAGACAAATTGGTGATATCAAGAATTTTCCATTAATTTTAAAAAAAAATTTAGGTACTTTCAAGGATTTACAAAACAATTTAAGGGTAAGGATAGTGTACTTACCAATAAAAACCAAGCAATCTTTGAAAATGACAAAAAAAAAAAAAAAAACAATTTATTTGTCGCAAAACATGACTAAGGCATATGTGCAACCAAAATGTCCCTAATTTTTGCCTGGATTCGTACGAAAAATCATTTAAATTTTTCAATTGAAATGTCCCAATTGTCCCACCTACCTAATGGGTACATGGTTTTTTGTAACTTGAGCCATTGACATTTTAGCTGCTAATGGCAAAATGCAGTACATTTTATCTCATTCCAAGGACGTCACAATAACTCCAACCCCCCTGAGTTCGCAATTGTGGTAACTTCAGACAATATTCATGGTCTAGGTCGGATACGAAGCAGCAGAAGAAAAGGAAATAATAATATTTCCGCGAGAAAAATTAAACTAAGTTTGAATGTGACATTGAAGTGAAATTAAAACCCGCCCTACCGAGCTGAGGGAAAACGCCGCATGAGTTTTCGAAAGTTGCCAAGTTTCGTTCTGTGAAATACGAATTTTCCGGACATCCATGGGATTATTTCGGTGCCGGCGTTTCAGAGAATTTTATTCCCACTTTCATCCAAAGTATTTGAGGAATTCAAAGAAGTTTGTGCGGGCTGAACATTAACATTGATAGGCAATGCGACCGACCATAAATCGATGGTAAACTCATTTTGTAATTAGGAACCACTATCTCTGGCTTTTCTGGAAAAGCACATTTCTGCATGAGGGAACCAATGACATATATGGACGGAGTTTAACAGAAAGTAACCAAGCCACATCGGGATTGAACCGAGAAAAAGAGGTTTAAAGTTTGGCTCCTGCATAAGACTCGATGTAAAAGATAAACTTCAAGTTCAATTTCTGCAAATTTGCTCCAACAAAAACTTTGAATTTTTGGCCATGGATAGTAGAGCAGTGGTTGAGTTCAAAACCACTCATAACTCAATTTTTTCCAAAATGTGGGTTGGTTCCTTTCGGCTTAACTCAGTACATATATTGTTTCTAAAAAGTTTTAAAATAGTGGTTCCTTATTGCAAAATGTGGTCCAAATAAGACAGAGGAAAGTGAGCGACGCCAATGGTCGAAGTAAGGGGTTGCAATAGACAAAGGAGGTAAGTAATAGAGTAACTAACGGCATAACTCTCGAGAGACCTCATTGGCGGGTCATCACTTTCCTCCTTAGTCTTTAAAACAAATATCCGTTTTAACCAATAGGAATTCTTTGTCTACCTATATGCATAAGCCCGCTAGACCTCACTCTACAATTTACGCTCTCAATTTGCTAGAAAATTGACTAAACTCTCCGTAATTTATCATTTTAGTCTCTCAAAAAAACTGTCCGTCTATCATTTGAGGGGCTTGGAGGACAAGGCGCATAAGTGAAGTTTCGAAAAAATTGAGATATTAATGAGTTCAATTTAAACTGGTCTTGATGCACATTCTGTGAAAAATTCGCCCCCTAATTCCAATTTTTAAGCATCAAAAGGTCAGTTTCAACTTTCTTTCGGCCATACGGATCCATGTGATTGCGAAACTTTACGCACGTATTTCTCGAAATAGCAAAAACTGCACTTATGCGCATTGTCCTCCAAGCCGCTCATTTAGTCTCTTGATTTCAATAATCAGCTTGCTAGGCTTCACTCTGCTATTTGAGGTCTCAATTTGCATAAGAAAATCGACTAAACTTACCGCAATTAATCATTTTAACCACTCAAAAAATGTCCACTCACAATTTTGTCTAAAAATTTCAAAAATCAGCCGGCAGAGCTCTTTTTGTAAAACGAGCATTCCAAGACAACAACGAACGGATAAAATCGATGATGATAAAATCATCATAACGGCCCCATCTGTGGTATTAAGGTGGATTAACTTTCATTAAATATAGACGATCTTATCATGATTGATTTAAAAGACCAACACTTCCTTAAAGCTTTTTGATGATCTTGAATTTTCTAATCAAACGGAAAATCCTTGATTTAAAACCACTTCTACCATAATAGGTATAAATCTATGATTAACTCTGCAGATTTGGCAACATGTGAATTTTAATACGGCGTTTTTCCCTAGTGCAGCAGCGCGGGGTCGTTATTTTTAGTGTTAAAAATTTCGATCCCTCCCAAGTTTTCTAAATGTTATTCCTTTCCCACTGTGAGACCCAGCTGCGCGACCTCTAAGTGGTGGAAACTTGGGCGTCAACTTTAATTGCACCTCCGGTTTCAAGTGCTCTTCGCGGATTTTCAATGCCACCTTTCGAGATGTAGCGACCCGCCGCGCCTCGCCGCACAATGGAACGGCCCTCTCAGAAAGGTCGAACATGAAATTTCTTATTAAAACCGTAAATTTTGATGTTAATCTCATCACATTATACATTTTGGGGGGTACCTCTTGAAGGAAATTTTATGCTAAAAACAATAAAACTACTTCAAAACCTCTAAAAGTTCCATATCGACATGGATACGAGCTTTTAAAGTTACCATATTTTGTTCGAATTCTTTCATGAATTCATACCACTGTGCGCCGTTCCGTGAACCCCTTGTTAGTTATTTAATTACATGTTTGGTCCTCTCATCTACTCTTTAAATACGATTCTGCAGTGACGTTCGGTGTGCGATTTGCCCGATACTGCCTCATAAAGCAAGAACATCGTACTAGCAAAAATCGAAAGCCCACAGCAAAAATGCAGCAACTCTTTTCTGGATCTTTTCGACGTTTTCTGACAAAATTTTTCATCACAGAGAAATCAGCGAGGATTAATATTTTCTGATTTTCAGCATGATTGTCGAATACCACTAAGAACTCGAAGTGGCAAAATTAGACGTAATTATTTTCAGAGGAACTTAGTTGCACACGACATTTTTCCTTTGGTTTCTGATCTCCATACCAAACTTTCGAATTTTCTCATCAAATTCCTCCCTTTTTAAACGACGTAATCTGCAAATTTAATTCATGCTTACCTTTTCTTGTTTATTTTTTGGTACATTTTCATTGATCACTATTTTCTAAGGTGTTAATGACATATCAACGGCGAAACTCCTAAACCACGTATCTCTGTTCACGACGTGGCAGACTTCTTATCATACTTCATTTTTTAACTGGAGAACTTCTCGACATCAATTCCTAAAAACTTCCATGATTTTTCTTCTCCGTACAAATTAAGTTCTGCACAATTTATGGTGTTGAAATTTACACAATCATTCCTTTAAAATTAACTTTTAAATTAATTTCTTGATGGGAAACAAAAACTTTTTGTCATTCCGAGAGATTTTATAGATAATTATGAATAAGTAACATTTTTATAAAACTGTATTTGTGCTAGTTCCTTTTTGCTAAATTTGATCCCACTACATGTATATCATACCTCCGTTCTGATGACTATTGTGGATTTTGTTGCAGCCACGGTACCTGCTGACGTCACTGGCGAGCAATGATCTAGCCATCGGTGTTTTCATAACTCCGTTTGGTTTTCTCTCGGCGTTCTTCGACTGCTGGATGAATGGGGACATCGTTTGTCAAATCCAGGTAAATATTAAAACGTTTCCTCGTCAATAAATCAGAGACGGCACCCTTCCCCTAGCTGTTGGCTCAACTGGTGCCAAAGCTATATTTCTGACATGTTGGCCGCCCATTTCAGATTCAAGTAAATCATGTAAAACTGCAGACATGAAATTATTCAAAGGGTGATTTATTTGGAAGCGATGCATGTAAACTGCTAAAAGGGGCTATGACCATAGATTTTGCGTGCAACATAGTTCCTTTCAGCATGAATTTGTTTAAATAAATGCGTCAAAATGGACTGCATTTCGTAATTAGAAACTACAATTTCTGGCTCTTTTCAAGAATAGCATTTGAGGACCTTTCCGACGAAACAGCTAATACCCATGTTAACGTTGCTAAGATTGTGCATATATTCAAAGGTTAAGTTGGTACAGAGCTTTAAGCTTTGTTATGGAATTTGCCGAAAATATTCATTCTATTTTTTTGAATTCTTTGGAAGAGCCATTTATAATGTGAGTTATTTCGGATTCTTGTAAAATAAAACAAAATTTGCACAATCTTAGCAACGTTGACATTGATATAAGCTGTTTAGTTGGAAAGGTCCTCATATGTGCTATAAGTTTCGCTATGAAGGTATGTCAATGGCGTAGGTCATCAATCGCATTTTCCGTTCTGTGTTGTCCGAAAATCTCCGCCTCTATGTTATTTTTTTAAAGGAGAGAACAAATTGACATTTTTGCAGATTTTTCTTCGCACAGAGAAGAAAAATCACGGCAGTTTTAAAGAATCGCCGTTGAGTAGTTTTCGGTTTAAAAAATAAAGTATGACAGGAGGTCTGCGACGCGGCGCGGCGTCGCAAACCGAGTTATGTGATTGCCGACTTACACCGTCGATGTGCTTTTATGGATGAGCCTGAAATCGCTGTTCTTGATTGCAAATTGTGTTCCAAATATAGAACCGGGATAGCTTTCCTGTAGACAGTCAAAATTACGTTGAAAATAATAAACCTAGCCATACCTTCAGTGTTTGACGTCTGTTCAATGACAATACGGATATGAGTAAAATTCTCTGCAAAAATGAGTGCCATACAAACTCTGGGCTGATTATTGAAATTAATAGACAAAATCATAGACGAATAAGACGGAAGAATAAAAGGGAAATCCTATTGGTTGAAACGTATGGTTGTCATATACTACCTATTTAAAGACTAACTTTATGCAACCTTTGCACAAAATGTCAAACGGTCAACAATTTCTACCTAAAAAGAAAAACTTGACGCAATCGACAACTTGAGACCTCCATGAACTGAATTTCGTCAAGTAAATGCGACCATAATCTGAGAGCCTCAGTTGTTGAAGCACCACACAAAACAAATGTAGTTCCTTTTGGCGGCAACCTGTTCGAATTCCTTTTCCTCCATTACACAACGCCTGGATGCAACCATTCGTGTTCAGCGGATGTCCTTGTTGCATACCGAGAAATTGAAGGCGTTTTTGGTGTCATCGTGCTCATTACGGCAATGACTGGTGCGCGCCGCCGCCATTCGTAATTACGGCCGTGTTACTGCGAACAGTGCTAGTGCTGCGCGGGCTGATAAACGGAATTGATCGACAAAACGGTGGACAAAGCTATGGACAAGGAAGACTAACGGAAAATAGAGCGATTCTTTTAATTGAAGCAAGTTTTTTTTTTTTTTATTGAGCAAGAAGTAAATTCATGGATCACGAGTAACTTTGAGGTCTCTCGTTGATTACCGTTACTTAGTCTATCACTTACCTTTTTTTCCTACTGCAACTACCCGCCTCCATCAATAGTATCGCTCCATTTTCTCTTCACCTTCTTTGTCTATAGCTTTGATTATCAATTTCAATAATCAGTCCAAGGTACAGATTTAAGAAAAATCAGCCTAATTACATGAGACGTCGCTCATTTTCATAGTTTATTCCATCACCAGATAACTACGCAGCATTTTATCCTAAAATTGTGTAATGATGTTCATCATTTGAAACAAAATAAATAAAGCATAATGCCACTTAGTGCTCTGTTAAAAAATCTACTTAAAGTGGGACTAAGGCCACAAAAACATAAAATAAAAAATCCCGGGACGTTTCGTGGTGTTACAACCGCGAAACATGCCCGGTTTTTATTTTGTGTTTCTCTGGCTTTAGTCTCATTTTAAGTTGATTTTATACTATCGTTTCGGACCGATAAAGTTATTTTTTTTCTCTTTAAAAAAACACAGGAACAAACACATTGGATCTAGAGTCCAGACTCTTAAAAACATCGACAAGAAAAAGTACTCTTAATTCAACCAGAATCTAGCTTAAATCAAGATCCAAGCTTCTTAATTTAAGCGGATTTCCTTTTGATTTAAACAAAAATCCGATTGAGTCAAGAGTATTTTATCTTGTCAATGTTTTCAAGAGTCTGGACTCTAGATCCAATGTGTTTTTTTTTCCAGTGAAGTAAAACTACTATAAATACATTCAGTGGTTATATCCATTAAACTGCACTAAGACCTTTCGATCTCGTCTCCTATTCCTCCTCATAACTCGCAAGTGCATTATACTCCAGACCCCAAAAAAGGACAATTTGGGGTTTGAAATACGAGGGGCGGGGGCCGCACTTTCTTAGCCCCTCTCGACCCGGTTGACGTCGAAGTATCACCCTGTGGCGACCTTTGCATAATATCCATTGTCCTCGAGACGGGACGCCAGGTTATTTATCTTAATGTTTCTCCACCTTACGTGCGCCGTGTGTAGTTGTCCGCCCACCAAAGTAGTCCCCGTTGAAAAGCTGCGCTATTTATTGCGAGACCCTAGGGAGTTCGGGTGGAAATTACTGCCATGCTAAGGAAAAACGCCGTATGAGCCTTCAGACGTTGCCAAATTTCCGTTGATAAAATACACTGGAAAAAATAACACATTAGATCTAGAGTCCAGACTCTTAAAAACATTCTCACATTTCTTGAATAAAAATTCCTCCCTTCGATGAGTGACTGCACCATAGTGCTGGCGCACATTCGTCGCATTCACCCAAAGCTCCTTCAATTTCTTTGGATATGCAATTTGATCTCCAGAGAGTTAAAATAGTTGCTCGCCGTCAAGGAGCCAAACTTATCCATGACCGAATACCTTTCCCATGAATACTCACGGGCGCTATTTTTATATTGAGTCAAATTAAAATCATACAAAAACACAAAATCGTTCTGATTCTTATAATGAAACTTTGTTTTGCAGTACTAACAGCAATTAACAACCCGAAAGAATTTGGATCTTAAATTTGATTTAAAAAGATAATTTTTTCGAAGCTGATTTAAACATTCTATTCTTAACTGATGCATATCTCAATTCCACACAAACCCCTCATTCACTGGAAAAAAAAAAAAAAAAAAAAAAAAAAAAAAAAAAAAAAAAAAAAAAAAANAAAAAAACTAATTTGATCTAGAGTCCAGACTCTTAAACACATCGACAAGAAAAAGTTCTCTTGATTCAATGAGAATCTAGCTTAAATCAAGAACCAAGCCTTTTAATTTAAGCGGGTTTCGTTTGATTCAAGCAAAAATCCGATTGAATCAAGAGTATTTTTTCTTGTCAATGTTTCCAAGAGTCTGGACTCTAGATCCAATGTGTTTTTTTTCCAGGGTATGAATTTTCAAGAAAATTGTAAACATTTTTCTTTGCATTTTTCACAGAGTATTATTCGCGACCGGATCTAAATTATCTAAAAATTTTGAGAGAAAATATGTATACCTCTCTTCAAAAATTAGCATTTTATCGGAGGAAATGTATCAACTCTCGAATGTTCATGCGGCGTTTTTCCTTAGCACGGCAGAATAGGTAGGAAGAGGGTCGTTGAACTTTTCGATGGCCGAAATATTGAAACCTCGGGTAATGAACACCGTTTTGGCGAGTTTCAGTTAATTTCAACCAGTAAAAGTAAAGGGCTTTGAACTAGAGGGGGTTAGGTATTTTTTCCGAGACTAGAATTTCCACGGGGAAAAATGTGATTTTTCATTAAATTTCCACAAAATGTTCATAAAGTATCGCATTCCAATTTCTTTAAAAGTGTGAAGCCCCAATTTTTCGACGAATTTATGCTAAAATGAACTAGAGACGTGTTGAAAAGATGGGATGTGCTCGTTTGAGCCGCATAAGAAACAATGTTGAAGTAGGTGTGATTCCTTTTGGCAAAATGGAAAAGTGGGAACTGACATCAAATCAAAAGAAACTAAGTGCCAAAATATGGTAACTCACGAGTCATGTACAACATGTGACAAGAGCGTTGAGGACAGGGCTCATGAGTTAAAGATCCCTGCTGTCGAGTGTACTCGTCCCGTACTTTTCTATGGCTGAAATAAGAAACAACGTGTATTTCTTTGCGACGTTGCAGATTTCCTGTCATACTATATTTTGCTTTGGAGAATTATTCAACGTAATTTCTTGAAAACCTTCCTTGATTTCTCTTCCTTCTTGGTAGAATATTCCGTATGAATTTCAAGCTTGAAGTTGGCATGTTTCTCTTTGAAAAAATGAAATAGGAGGAGCAATTTGGAAATGCCGCAATGGGGATACGTGGTTTTGTGCTTTGGCCATCGACGAATGTTTATAATATGTGTAACTGAAGAGAAAATGAAATAATTATATTTTTTTATTTATTTTATTTATTATATTTACGTACATGAAAGCCCCATTATTGGAGCCGTGGCACAAGTCAAAAAACACTAAGAATTACAATATACAATAATTAAAAATATAAATTACAATTGTAAAATGTTAAATTAAGTGGTGGTTGGTAGAATGTTATTCAACAGCTGAAGTCAGAAATTCGTTTAAATCATAAAATGCCTTGGTTAAGAGGAGATTTCGAAGAAAATTGAAGAATTTCTTCGCTTATTCACCATCGCGGAGTTGTTGTTTGATGTTTCAGGGCAATTCTTGAGTGTTACAGCTCATTTAACCCGTACATTTGTTTAAAATCCTGATATTCGGTGCATTCATGCAACGCTGCAATACTTATTGCCCTTAAGCGACCCATTGGAAATCTTTTATATCGACGCTTCAATAAAAAACCGCACCGAATACTCTTGAACCTCTGCTCGCACAGCTTCACTACGTCGCTTGGCTGGCATAAGGGCGTAACTACACTTCGCCATGAGCCCTGTTGTTCGTACAGTTCAACTATTTTCACGACTCATCTCTCTGTGTAGTTACGCTCTTATGGCAGGCGGGCGACGACTAGTTCTTCGAACCGTTCTCTCATCTGTGACCTCCGTGCAACACTCACTTCAAGTGTAGATCTTCTCCATCTTTACCATTACTTCGCGTGCTGTTGCACGTTACAGATTAACGAGTCAGCGTGATTTGTAGTGATCTGAGCCGATAGAAATGTCACTGGACTTTGTACACGGAGAAAGAAACCTCGTGCGTGAGACCCGAAGTTTAGGTCATATGGATCTCTGAAGTTTTCGGATTGAGCATCTGAACACTTTAGGCCTAGCTGTCGAGGTTCGGATCACACATCTGAAACTTCAGTTCTTACATCTGAAGTACTTCAGATGTGAGCACCGAAGTTTTTCGGATGTGAGAACTGAAGTTTTTCGGTTGTGAAAACTGAAGTACCTCAGAGGTAAGAGCTGAAGTTTTAGATGTGTGATCCAAACCTCAGCAGCTGGACCTAAAGTGTTCGGATGCTCAATCTGAAAACTTCAGAGATCCATATGACCTAAACTTCGGGTCCGACGCACGAAGTTTTTTTCTCCGTGCATGAACTTCACAAAGGTGGTGTCCGTTGCGTTATTTCACAAGATATTTCCGTGTGGAATTACTTACGCTGAGGAGAATACTCGTTACATCAAGGAAGAAATATTTAGTGTATAGGAATGTATAAAATCTGTCCAGGACAAAATTTCGATAGAAATACTTGACTTGTCTCTTTGTGATTTAAGTGTCGCGGATTTTTTAAAGGAAAAGTTTTGAAATTCGAAAAGAATCAAATGATTGTTCGATTATTCTACTCTTTCATGCCAAGATTAAAGATGTTCCTAATGCAAAAACAACTGAAAGAAACTACGATAACAGGAAGTCTTTCCAATATTTTAATCTCAGCACAAAATTTCAAAACGTACAACAATTGCTGGCTGGAAAGATAAACTTGCCACAATGGAAAACTTAGAGCCTCTTTAAATTGAATTTTGTCACGAAAAACCGATCAAAATCGAAAAACTGCACTTTATGCAGCACAATACGTTGTCCTTGTAGGCAAATATCCGTTCGAATTCCAGCTCTTTTAGTACACGGCGCCTGGATGTAACTATTCGTGTTCGACGGACGTCCGTGTTGCATACCGCAAAATTGAAGGCGCTTTGGGTTTCATCGCGCTCATCGTAGCTCATCCTCTTTAATTATTGCCGTGTTACTGAATAAAGCAGTCGGGCTCGCCAATTAAATTATTAGAAAAAAGTATAGACAAAGCTATAGGCAAAACTATAGACAAAGAAGACTAAGAAAAAATTGAGCAATCCTCTTGGTTGAAACGGGCAGTTTTTATAAACTAGAAGGAAAATGATGAGCTACCTGTAGGGTCTCTTGTGTGTTGCTGTCAGTGAGTTTGTTACTTAACTTTTTTGTCCATTGCCACGACTGCTTTCACCAATACTGCCGTGCTAAGGAAGAATGCCGTATGAACCTTTAGGAGTTGCCAAATTTCTCCTGGCAAATCACTAATTTTCAGGAAAATTTTTGAATATTTGCCTACTAATTTCTCAGGTTATTCTGTTTGTAATTTGATCTAAAACTCCTGAAAAATTCAATGAAACATATTCACAATTTTCCTCAAAAATAAACATTTTACCGAAGGAAATTTGGCAACTCTCGAATGTTCATACGGCGATCTTCCTTAGCACGGCAGAATAGGACCGCTCCACTTTTCTTTTGTCTTATTTGTCAGGTCGTAGTCTTCACCAGCTAGTAGTCGTTTCCTGACAAGTAGGAGTTAGTGATTTTGATCCTTTTCGCCTGCACCAGGCTTGAGGAAGTTTGAAGGGAGATTTTTCCTTCGAGAATGTATCGTGATAGAGCAACACTGTCAAACCGCAGACTATAGGTCCAGTTACACGATCAAATTGAGCCATCAAATTGGGCCTCTCATTGGTCGCATACTCACCTCAGGTCTTTTTCCACCAATCAGAGCTTCAGTTTGATGGCTCAATTTGATCGTGTAACTGAACCTTATAGGAAAGTTTTGTGTGCTACTCGTGCTATTTGTATCAAATGCGTCGCTTGTTTCTTGTTTCAGGCAATTCTTCGCGGCGCTCTGACGCAGCAAAGCGCGATGCTACTCATCATAATGGCCATCGACAGATATATCTGTATGCTTCATCCGTTCAAATACCACAAACACTGGAGTAAAAAAGTAAGGAACTGAATTATAATTGGAACACCATTGAGACTTTATCCATATTCCATCAGTTTTTGGCCTAAAGCCCGTATCATACAATCAAAGAAGGGTTTTCAAAATGGCGTCACGGGGTGGGGGGGGGTCACTATTCTCTCAGGAGAGAATGTTTTTTTCTTCGGAGAGAACAGTTTTCTCTCTGGAGAAATTAGTTTTCTTTACGGAGAGATTAGCTTGCTCTTGGGAGCGAATAGTTCTCTCTTCGGAGATAATAGTTTTCTCTACGAAGAAACAAGTCGTCCCTAGCCAAATTTCCTTTGGTAAATCACGAATTCTAGAGAAAATTTGTCAATATTTTTCCTCCAATTTTCAGATAATTTTGTTCGCAATTTTACCGAAAGTTCCAAAAATTTTAGGGAGAAACATATGTAGCTTTCCTCAGAAATTAACATTTAATCGAAAGAAATCTCGCAACTCTCGAATGTCCATAAGTAGTGTTTCCTTAGCACGACAGCAGCACGACAGCAATACCCTCGATTATTCTACAAACCGGATGAGCCGAAATCACGAATTCTAGAGAAAATTTGTCAATATTTTTCCTCCAATTTTCCAGATAATTTTGCTCGCAATTTTATCGAAAGTTCCTAAACATTTCAGGGAAAAACATACGTACCTTTTCTCCGAAATAATAATTTTATTGAAAGAAATCTGGCAACTCTCGAATGTCCATAAGACGTTTTTCCTTAGCACGACAGCAATACCCTCAATTTTTCTGCAAACAGAAAGTCCCCTCGGTTCTCGAATTACGTTGAAACCTCGGCGTGGCAACGCGCGTCGCCGGCGTGTGCGGGCCTCCGTTCAAAATTGCCAGATCGTGCGATGAAACGCGAATATCCAACGTGGGTTCAAATGGGGGAAAATGCAGATTTTTCGGCACTATTCGGCAACTATGCTCTCATTTGAGCGCGGCGCGGAGAATATAAACCAGGGACGGACCCGGGAATCGATTGCATTAAACGTCACCGAGAACAATTTAATCAGAATTACTGACTTTCTTCACCCCATTCCGCCGAGCGGCTCTTGCTCTTGGCCCCCCTGCCCCCGATTTTTCGCCCGATTTTCGGCCCCCCTCCCCCATACCCACCCCGCGACGATGTCTTCCCGATAAAAACACTTACTTACGACCCCAGACCCCGGGCAGAGGTACAGTGTTGCCGATTTAGCATGGAATCGGTGTGTTGCATGCATAAGATACTCGTACACTACCGTGCACGGAAAAAATTAAATTGCTGATTTAGCGATTGAATTGTTAAATCAGCAATTTAAGTTTTTTCGAAAAGGAAGTTTTGAGAAAACGGGCTCAGAAGCGCCTGACCGGAGAATTTCATAGGGAGGCCTTCGTTTGTTGTCAAATTATCACTAATCATCCGAAAGACTCCTAAAAATCGTTTGGATGATTAAAAATCGACCAATTATATTTCAATTACATAAAATCGTTATTTTTAATTTTCATGTCAGGTTACTGTTAGGCAAGGCAACCGTAAGTGCTATCGTTTTCAGTTCTGCATGCTTTCGCGGCTACGTTTTGGACACACAACAAACGCATTTCCAGGTTAGAAATAGGCATAGGCGGGCGGCACTTTACTTGAAAGCTCTGTTTTCATTGGCTCTCTGGAGGAACATTATCACTTACTGTTGTCTTGTCTGAAACTACGTCATTTTTTGTGTACTCACAGCTTTCACACATCGACGGCGTAAGTCCGCAATCACATAACTCGTTTGCGGCGTCTGAAAATCTCCGCCTCCATGTAAAGGAGAACAAATTGACATCATTCCTTGAAGTTTTTGCAGAATTTTTTTCGCACGGAGAGGAATGATCACGGCAGTTTTAAAGAATTGCTGTTGGGCAGTTTTCCGTTTAAAAAATATAGAATGACAGAAATTCTGCGACGTCACAAACCGAGTTAAGCGATTGCCAACTTACACCGTCGATATGTTTCGCTTTAATGAAAATAAGATGAATTTTGCTGTTTCAGTTATTTCAGTGCTTTCATCTTAATGAGCAGATAAGACACATTTCGAAGGAAGTTCGATTCCGAAAAATTGACAATTACTGCTCTCTTCGCTATCGCGGAAGTGCAGCAAGAGAACAGGTTGCACGGAAAAAATTGCACGTGAATTCAGATGGCAACATCAGAAAAGTCTGAAATCCACACCGTAGCATGAAATCCAAGTATTTTGTACCGCGCTTTTCCATATTTTCCGTGTCTGCGGGCAGTTTTTCTCAGTCGTCGGTGACCCACCTCACACGGACAGAGGAATGCAAAATCTTACCAGCTATTATCCAATTGATTGTTGAAATTGATAGAGAAAACTATGTAGAAAAAAGAAAAAAGGGATATGAAGGGATCCTATTGATGGAAGCGGGTGGTTGCAACGGACAAAGGAGATGCGTAATAGACTAATTAACGGCAATCCACGAGAGCCTCTATGGGTGAATCGCGAATCCCACGAACTTTTGGGCGAGCCTTGACGAGAATTTATTCTCATGTGAACAATCTCTCAAAATGACTCAAAATTGTGATCCGCTAAACTGAGAAAAAAACTGCGGTCATATGAACGGAATGTACGGTGTTCAATATTGGCCGTATTGTTCGGTTCATGCGACTGCTCTCTCAGTTCTGGGAACCGTAACCTTGGTTCATGCAAATGAGCTTTTTCGTGAGTTTTGAATGCTCGGTTGCATGAACAGAGGATACGGCCGATATTGAACACCGTACATTCGGTTCACATGGCTGAAGTTTCTTTCTCAATGTGTTTCTCGGTTTCTGAGTTACTGTTTTGCGTTTTCAATGTGCGCATCGTGCTTTGCGGGTCATTGCCTGCAGAAAAATGAATTTGTAAGTCAAAATTCGTTTATGGTTTAGTGACCCATCGCACCCTTTCATCGAACTAATTTCAGCTGAACTGAATCTGGCTACTCGAATTAGTCTCGCTGAAGTTCGACCTCTGGACCGAGTCCAGCAGCCCGTGGAGTGTTACATGCAACTTGACAGTCAAGTCTCCACCAAATAGACCGCGTAAAGCAGGAAGAAACCAAGGCACATCAGCTTTTGCCAAATTTAATCAGGCAGTTTGATTTTTTACATGAAAACGGTTGGGCAAATTTTTTTGCAATTTTCTGAACAGTACGAAGCAAATTCCTCAAAATTTTCAATGGAATCCATGAAAACGTTTCGTTGTAAAATCTTAAAAGGAGGATTTGCATGCAAATTTTTTATTGCTTCATATGAAAGTGCTTAAAGAGCTGATTTCACAGTATTTTTTATAATTTTTTTCTGATATGAGAAATATTATTAAAATAGATTTAAAAGTGAGGAGATGCACCACTTAGTGACGTCATCTGGCGGCATTTCCCATTTGAACACATGTATTTTAATAGATAAGATCATTTTGTCTTATCCTCTCCAATAATAGTTCAATTCGTGAACCAAGAGAATCCTCGTGTTCAGTTCACTCAGTAGTTTCTACTTAAACACAAAATTCATCAAACAGACACCTGCAAATTCTTTATTGCCCATGCAGTTGAATTTGGCAATAGCTGATGTGGCTTGGTCCCTTTCTGCTGTACGCGGTCCAAATCTGTAAAAAAGCCCTCGCTATGATGTATGTATAAATATAGTCGCTCTACAACGCACTCGGGCGTCCTGAGACACCCAAACGCTACATATGCCTGTCTTTCCAGAGGTTATCGCACTGGAAAAAAAACACATTGGATCTGGAGTCCAGACTCTTGAAAACATTGACAAGAAAAAGGACTCTTGATTCAATCAGATTTAAGCTTAAATCAAAAGGAAATCCGCTCGAATTAGGGGCTTGGTTCTTGATTTAAGCTTAAATTCCATTGAATCAAGAGTATTTTTTCTTGCCGATGTTTTTAAGATTCTGGACCCTAGATCCAATGTGTTTTTTTCCAGTGCGGGCAACTCACACTGCAACATCTCTTCGTCAACGCCCTGGCCGCTATGAACCAAACTCTGAAAAAAAATTCCCTTGTAACTGTGGCAGCAGCGCTCTGCTAGGTCCACGCTCTCTTAAGCACCAACTTTGGTTTTTGTGCAGCCCGCGCGCCCCCGCCGGGCGCTTTTTATTTGCCCGAGCGTCTTCGGCCGGGCGTTGGGTGTCACCGGGTTGCAACATGGTCTTCGCACCCCCGAGTCTTCCATCGGGGGATGGTTCGTCGCTTGCACCCTCCGGCAGCACCCCGAGACGGTCCCTTCTAGCCGACGACCGGGATGTTTATTCATGTTTGTTTTTTCCGCGAGGAAATATGTCCGCGGGCCCTTGATATCGATACCCGCACCGATTGTCGAGTGACCCCCGTCTTTTGTGAGAGGGGAGGGGGCGGGGTGAAAGTAATGAAATGGAATGGACCACATGTTGCCGGATTTCTTTCGTCCTGGAAAGTTGACCCGGCCGAATGATCGGACTGACTTTACCAAATAGGAACCGTAACCCTGGTTTTTTTTTTTTTAGGATTTTGACGGGTAAACTGCAAAAACACGTATTTCAATGTAGGCGTTGGGTGCACTGAAAAAAAATTCTCGGCGTTTTTACCAAGGTCCGTTGGTACCTTTACCATCTCACTTTTTATTACCAATAATTGGTAATTTTACCAAGACAGACTGGTAAGCTTACCAAAAAACCGGTATTTTCACTGTTTTTTCAGGTAAGAATTCCACTTTTATTGGTAATCAATTCCCGGTAACTTTGCCATTTTATCTCGGTAATTCGTTACGTCGAATTTCTTTGTTAAAATTGGTAAGTGAGTGCTATAGTCTCCTGACAACAGAATTGCTATCTCAAAATTGGAGAAAAATGACGAGTGGCTGAAAAAATGGAACCAATTGATGCTATGTATCGCATGCCGTTCTTACACAAAATATGGCGTCCATCGACACACCTTAAATTCTATTCATATGAGTTGAAATTCTATTCATATGAATTGAAATTCTATTCATATGATCTTGATTTTCTACTCATTTTTACTCACCATTTTTAGCGGGTCTCTCCCTACCTACCCATATGGCGCTTAGTTCCGTTTGATAGAAATACGTTCTTTCACCACCTTGCCACATACAGTTCGGGCCATTTCTCCGTGTTTTTGCTTGTTTAACGTAGAGTCCCTTTATACCCAGAGTTAAGACAACTCGATTATCAGCTGACTGGCAGCCGGACATGGCTGGCCATGGAGGCACAAACGAGTGCACCCAAACAACGATATTGAGGGATAAGGATAAGAAATCCTGTGTTGTCTGTCATCCAAAAACAACAACATCAACAAAATTGATCAATTATAAAGAAAATGAGATTGGTTTGTGAATATTTTCGTAATCTGTTTTCATTTTGGACCGATGGAAATAACAATTTACTCTTGATAAACCGCAATTAGGTAATATTTTCATTATTTTCGTTCACATTCGAGTCACCGTCATCTTAGTGCACTCGCTTGTGACTCCATGAGCGAGAACCAATCAGAATTTGATTTTTTTAGGCCACTTTCAGCCCAACAAAAAGTGAGTTGTCGTAACTCTGGGTATGAAGGGACTCTATTTTAACGAGAAAGTTATTGGGGTGTTGCAGTGGTGCATGTTCTTCATCAGCCTGACGCTGGTGTTCTCGCTGGTGACGTTCTCGCTGATGGTGCTCCAGCGCGGCGGGTACTACTACAACGCGAGCGGGCTACTGGCGTGCGACCCCTTCTACTCGCGGCCCTCCTTCCGGATCCTGGCCGCCTGCCTCTTCTACTTCCCGACCACCATGCTCCTCATGTACTGCTACGGCTCGGCCTTCCACGTCAACAAGCTCCGGCTCAGCACCGTCGTCAACTCCGTCATCGGCCCCGGACACGGCCCCCACGGACAGCCCTCCGACGCCGCCCTCACCGACGCCGCCATCGAGAAGGTAAGCGCAGAGAAATCGGAAATCCTTACACTGGAAAAAAAAACCATTGGATCTAGAGTTCCATTATACTGAGAGTCAAGACAACACCCCCTCATGAAGTCACAAACGGGAATAAAGATTACACAAATTGAACGTTTTCTGTAATTTTTGATCGGCCCATTCTCAAATTCCTTTCTCCGTTCCTTCCCTCATTCCGTTTGTTTCTTGCCGAACCCGTAATTCCCTGGTCCATTCCAGACTATAATCTTTGCAATCGGTGAAGATGTAATCTTTATTCACGTTTGTGACACTGTGAAGGCCTAAAATACGGGACCCAATCAGAAATGGATTCACATTGTCTTGACTCTCAGTATAAAGGGACTCTAATTGGATCTAGAGCCCAGACTCTTAAAAATATCGACAAGAGAAAAGACTCTTGATTCAATCAGATTTTTGCTTAAATCAAGAACCAAGCCTCTTAATTTAAGCGGATTTCGTTTTGATTCAAGCAAAAATCCGAGTGAATCAAGCGTATTTTTTCTTGTCAATGTTTTCAAGAGTGTGGACTCTAGCTCCAATGTGTTTTTGATTTCCAGTGCACCTTCTGGCCACAGTATCACTAGCGCCACGAGACGTTTCAAAATTTTCACCGCAATGGACCACTAGACAAGGTACGAATTTAAGCATTCTGATACATGTCTCTTAACTAGAATTTCATGTAAAACACGATTCGCGCAACGATTAGTACTGAAATCAACTCCTAACAAAGATATTAACGTTTTTATTTCACATTCGTTACGAGGACTTTGAACCGCCCGCTCACAAGAAACTCAAAGCTCTACGTGAGTCAAATCGTGCACTACAACGGTTTCAGCAAGCTTCTCCATCGAGCAATGTTCATTTCCCACCTTGTGTTGCTCAAACTATAAGCAACTTGCTACAGCTGAGCCAAAGCGTCAAAATTAAGGTTGCCAGATACTTTATTTGCAGAGACTGTCATGGTTTAGCGCGCGATATGAGTCACGTAGAGCATTGAGTTTTCATGAGCGGGTGGTTTGAATTCACGCATCAAGAATCATTAAAATATCTTTGTAGGGAGTTGATTTCGGTAATTTTCGTTGTGCGCATCGTGTTTTACGTGAACGGTGAAATGTTGGTTAAAAAACATGTGTCAGAATGCTAAAATTCGTGCCTTGTCTAGTGGTCCATTTTATTTTTTTTACAAAGAAATTATTGGTTGAATCTGGAACATTTCGCTGAATTCTATCGGCAGCACAAAGTAAAATTCAGTGAAATTCGTGAGATTTGGTATTTTGAACAGCTTCGTTGAACTCAAAGTGGTCCCTTTTAGCGAAAACCTGCTCAAATTCCTTCTCTCTTATACACAACGCCTGGATACAACTATTCGTATTCGACGAAAGCCCGTGTTGCATGCTGCAAATTTGAAGGCGTTTTGGGTTTCATTGCGGTCATGGTGATAATTGATTGGTGTTCATAGACGCACTCCTGGCTTTCGATGCCGACGACAAAGCTGACGACGCGACGCTAAATGAAGTGGAGTCTTACACTTGACGTTGGGTTCGATCCTTCGATACAAATATATCAACTCCTGTGTGTTGCACAGTATCAAGCTTCATTGAAGGCGTTTTTTGCCCTGATGTGATACACGCAATGAGCCAAAGCCAACGACGCGACGCTAAATGGACTACATTTTACAATTTGGAAGTATAAATTCTAGCTCGGTTTCAAAACAACGTACATGCCATTAGTTTCCCTATGCACATAAGTGTTTTTCCAGAAGATCCAGAATTTATTTTTCCAAATTGCAAAATGCAGTCCAAATGAAGTAGAGTCTTATACTTGACGTTGGGTTCGATCCATTGATACAAATATATCAACTCCTGTGTGTTGCACAGTATCAAGCGTGATTGAAGGCGTTTTTTGTTCTGATGTACTTCACGCAATTACTCGACGCTACGGAAACGCGAAATGACGATTTACGTATGATTCTTTGATACGAATTGCATGTGTACAAAAGGTGATGTGCCGTTCAGAAGCAGAGGGCATCATGAGCGTTGAAGCAGGACAACGGAATCCATTCAGCCTAAATAGTGGCCGACGAAAAATAGGAAAGTTATGCTCTGATTAATCTATTTAATTAATAGCAGAAAACTTTTAACTTTTTTTTGGTTGGTGAAATTTTTTTATTCACAAAGTATACAATGATTCACAAATAATAATGTTTCTCAATTAGAGTTTCTTATTATAATAAAACGAACTATTTCTAAAAAAAACTATTGTTTACAATTTAAAGCTGATACTTTATAGATTATGCCTTAATATTTACGACGCTCATTCATAGGAACAAGCGGCTGAAAGAAAAGATTAGACTTCTCTAATTGTAAAATTCTGTCTCTTTTATACTTGACTACCGATGAGCTATCATCTACGTATTTCTGACTGTGTTAGGAAGTAAGGAAAAGACCCTCATTCACGAGACAAAAAAATGCTCCGTTTCTTATTCAGCTCAAACATTATGAGAGGAATTTGAACCTCATTTACTTTATTGGACAATTACGAACGTTATTTTAGCTATCAGTATGCTGTGCTACCAAACTTGAACTTACGCAAAATTAAATAGTTACTGTAAAAGAGCGAATTAAATTAGCACAAAAATCAACATACCATCGGTCTTTGCAGTTTGTAGCTTCCCAAAATATTCCTTATCAATTCAGGTGGCTTACTGATTCCCGGAACTTTTTGATCATACCGCGTATGCACCTAGGAAGCAGCCTTTATACATTCACTTAGACCAGCCGTAGTAAAGTTCAATTAAAAAAACAAAGAAACTGACGAAAAGTCCAACACCCAGACTCATAAACGCAAGTTGCAAATCAATCATGCTGAATGGCCTGAGGGATCCCTCGCCCTCGTCTCTTTGACGAAATGATTCAAAGTAGTATTCCATCGACTCAGAGGTTAAAATGCTAGCCGTGAATCCATTTTCGATTAACTGGCTCATCTTTTTATCAAAAATTTCAGTAAAGATAGAATTCTCGACAATCAAGTACGAAATCGGGAACATGGCCAAACATTCGTCGATCAGGTGGAACTCGATCTCCGTGGAGGTAAGGAATCCTCTGGATGTAATACGATTCTTCGCCGTGAGAAATGAATATGGCAACCTGTCCAAATACGCGTCCGAACTCGCGATCGAAACTATATTTTTCTCCACTTCGCCGATCTTGTCCGTGCAGTTGTTTTTTATCTTGTGTTCGTGCGTGTTCGTCGCATTCGGTGACCAATCACAAAGGAAATTATTCTGGTTATACTCATCAAGGAGTTCTAGTGCTAGTCGCTCGTAATAGTATCTGCTATCGGTTAGTTGCTGTTTCAGCGGTGCGTGCTCAGACTGTCCCAAGATATCCGAAATTGCGTCAACAGTCCGTGTTTGTATGTAAAGCCCGGATTTTTCCAATTCTTCCAGGGTTTCGACGTCGGAATATCGTACGTAACTTGTCAATAATGTCGTCAGCCCACTCTGAAGGACGGTGCCGATGATGAGATTTAAGAACGTGAAGACGAGGAAACAAATCTTCCCGGTCAGGAATTTGCCCAAGAGCAAAGTCGGTGGACTACCGCTGAGGAAGTAGGAATAAATTGCGAGGAATGATGATGAGTCTTCGAACGCACTTATTTCCGGGTCCGAATAGAAATGCGCGAAATACAAGACTTGGGACCGCTGGAACACCCATTGCATGAGCCACGAGGTGGCGATCGCTATTATTATGGCCAGCCATACCGGAGGCGAGAAGCATTTGACGACCACGAGGTACTGTGGCATGAACCCACGGCGAGGGGCCAGGAAACAGTAGTAAAGGGAGTCGAAACTCGGTGTCATGTGGAATTGGGAGATCTCCGACTCTTCCAAAACATAACCACCCTCGAAGATGATAAGATCGAGGTTTTGCTCCAGGCCGGCTTCACCATATGGGGCATCAGTTTTATCTAGCAAGATGTTTTCGGCATCTTGTTGGAAGATCAAATTCGAGAGTTCTCCGAAGAGCTGGGGTGTTTTAAAGTCAGATTTGCTGCAATGAAACGCGGGACCAAAGCCTATTTTGTGGACGAAATCGTCGCTAGTCTGGTCGTGAAAGACTCGAAAGGTAAAATCGAAGTATTTCTCATTTTTTGATCCTCCGTAATATAGGAGGCTCCGTTGAAAGCGATCGTACCAAATGCACTGTTGTACGAAGCAGATGGTCGTTCGGTGTCCCCTGAAGAATCGCCAGAATACGTCAAAGAGAAAGATTAAGTTGCGAGATTCGATTTCATCCGCGTTGGAGAGTGCGGAGTTGGACGAATATTGGGGTTTCTCAATTCCTGAACGCTCCTGTTTTGAAGTGAGCTTCCTCCAACTTCTCTGATCAACCATGAAGACGATGTAATTTTTGTAGTTCCAGATATTGTGCGAGTAGAGTCCCCGTGTAAATGAAAGTAACTGGTCCGTCAAAGGAGACTTGCCTTTAAGTTCTGCCGGAGTTATATGCAATCTGTAGTTACAACTGGTATTTACTTCCCCGGAATCAACGACTGAGTCGTATGTAACGCAGTAATTTGGTAGTTCTCCCTGGAGATTATTCTCGGCATAAGGACTGCTGCTCATATACGAAAAGTTAGTAGGAATCCTGATTTGATTTGTATGAGAAGCTGTTGTCAGAATCAAACTGAAAATGTTGTCGATTTCTGTAAGGAAGACGATAAGGTTTTTTTGATTTCGATTCCGTGAAAAAAGACTCAATTCGGTGTGTTGGCGTATCGAAACGGTGGAAATTAAACTCTCGTGTAAGCCCTGAACAAGAGTAGTATCCGATGGGTTTCCTCGTAGGTTGACGATGTGGAATTGCCGATTTTTAGACAGATGCACAATTTCTTGACAAATTTTCAAAGCCAGGTCGTTGTGCCGCAAAGCCAAATGGTCATTTAAGTGAGTACGGAGATTGGCAGTCGCGATTCTCAGT